TTTTGATGTCCAAACCAGGACTGCAACTTTTAGGTATGCAAATCCGGACAAAGGGCAGAGGATAATTTTGTTCAAATTTCTTCATAATTAAGGGGGCGTCCATTAATCACGTGAGGTTTTTCGGGGAAGGAGGGTTTGACAAAAAATTACAAAATATCACCTGGGGGAGGGAGGGGTATAATAAGATATCATGTGCATTTATTATTTAACTAATTTTTTTGAAAAAAGTTCATACATTTTCAAAAAAAAAATAAACATTTTACAATATTTTCTCGTGACTAAAAATGCTTGCTGGGAAAGGGGGGGTAATTTTGCATACCACTATGTATCACCAAGGGGGAGAAGGGTCTAAAAATCCTTAAAAACTCGCTCACGTGATTAATAGACGCCCCCTAACTTAGTAAAATTTAGCACTTATGCTAGACCGTCAAATAGTTTGTTTCCATAATTTTTGGTAAAATAAAAATTCGAAATTATTTATATGTGATGTGATGTTCAAAATTAATTATATTAAATTGAGAAGCTATTTTAACCAGCATTCAGAATTTTGCATTCGGCAATTTTCTCATTTGTAACGTATTTTTCTATATAAACATACACGTTGTATATGTCTTCATGTAGTTGTAGTTGTAGTTGTAATTTTATTATCAAGTAATTGCAAATATTCAATTTAAATCCATACTTTTTGGAACCCGGGACAATCCGGGACAAATGATCTAATTTCGGAACGAATATTGCTTTCGGAAAAACCCGGGACACAAGGTGAAAATCCGGGACTGCCCTGGCCAATCCGGGGCGTATGATCACCTTATTATTAGCAAAAAGGACCAACTGAACCTTTACCCTGACAAAGACGTTTAAAATTAACTGACAAATTCCTTTAAAATTAAAAATAAGACATTAAACCTATTGCCCTCTGACCGTCCCATTTTATGAGGCAAAAAGGACCCGCTGACAAATTTTTAAAGGACAGCAAAAAAAGCTAGAAGTTTTACTGAACGTAGTCAGATAGTTGTCTTTTTGATATGTGTTATTAGTTGTGATATTATTGGTTTGGTTTTTAAAATATAATTGCTCAAATTGAACTTTCAACAAAAATATTAGAATTTGTACTTCTATGCGGATAGCTTCCATTTATCACTCACAGGTTCTAGTCTTCATAAAATGCCCACTATTTAACAACATTTTTTTATTATTAAAATCTAAAATTTGTGAATAAACTTCAAACTCCCAAATTCGTTGAAATCAACCTGTATCAGCCCAGTATCTTCATAAACCTCCATTCTCTGATAAAATACAAATGTTACGGAAACTCTATGTTACTGTCCTATTTTTGTATGAATTGGTAGTAAGAACTCAAAAAGCTATGTAAAGGAACTCTAAACAAAAACTACGCAATCGAACAAAAAACTCTTTTCTACTCATGGACAGTAAATTCATTTGGACCATCTAATCTAAAAACCGCACTTACATAGTTGCCAACTTAATATTTTATAGCACTCGGAGTGTTCATTGTTAAAAATTGAATATTTAGAAAATCTGTACAAAAGAAAATATTTCAAATAAACAAAATCACATTTCAAATGGAGACAAAATATTGTGAATAACCATTTTTTATCATACAGCCATTCAGTATATTCTGAAGTCGCTTTTGAAAATTAAATTATACAACTCACAATTTGTTTAACAGCGATAGGTTATATGACGTATTTACGAACTTCCTACTAAACTCTAATACCGTTTTTACGAACGTACGCAAATTATATACTTTTACTTTCAAAATGACAAATTTGTCTTATTGTCACTCACGTATGATTAATGTTATTATTATCTTTCACGAAAATTCTATGCTAAACATATATCTTTATTAGAATATATTATTATATAATCTAAAAATAAATAAAGCAGTGACATCAGCTTTTGTTTAAGGTAAATGCAGCGCGCATAATTTTAATAAACTAGTGAAAAATAGTGTTTAATCTTTGACTGCTAAAATTTATCTTAAATTTTACCGTTACGAATTATATTTTAATTCTACAACTTGGAATAATCACATGCTTAGAGTTGAGCATTTATATATACTAGTATGCAATAAAGTATTACATATATATAAATATAATGTAACTTTTTTCCAACGATCTTGTAGTTCAATGATACACAGATATATACATTTATTTCAAACTCATACTTGCCAAACTTTTTCTTTACATGACTAAACATTTATCTTATTATTGTTGCAAATTTGTGAACTATATCTTATTACTAGCTGCTAATATATTTTACTTTTTGCCAAAATATTTATGCTCTTAAATTGCTAATAAGAAGAAACTAGAAATGCATTCGTATTGCAATTAATATGTATATATATATACATATATACACACACACACACATATATATATATATATATATATATATATTTGTAATATTTTTGCAGCCCAATCGTCGAATTAAAAAAAAGATTAAATGACAAAATTATTTATTCCATTAAACGTTTCGACACTTGATGTGTGTCATCATTCAGTAATCAAACCAGGAAAAACAACAGAAAAAATTAATTATGATGTAAAATTGATTGAACACTAAATTTGTGTACAATAATAAAATACTGTTATATTAACAAACGAGAAATAGAAGGAGCACATATTGCCCTCCTATATTTAATGTTATTGATAGCGGTGCATTGTGGACACTGATGAATAAAAATTTAATTTTTTAAAAGTCCTTAGTAATTTGGAGATTGGTATTAGTAAATCAAAAGACTTTGAAAAAGAAACAAATGATCAGTGTCCACAATGTACCGCTATCAATAACATTAAATATAGGAGGGCAATATGTGCTCCTTCTATTTCTATTGTAATACGAATGTATTTTATATAAATGCATGCATATATGTATATAAATGTATATGTGTAATTAAATATATATATATACGCATATTCTAGACTTAATCAATATAATTCACATTAGTAACATTAAACTAATTCAAAATTTAGTTTCTTAATTACTACGATTTACATAAAAAAATGTTTTCAAAATTATCATCTGAAAACTTGTTGTATATATAGAATTCTGAATTCATCTCTATATATTCATCAATTTATCAATTTAGTCTAGAATATGTTCGTTTCCACAACAATTGTACGAACGTTATCATATTTGCGTAGCCTCAGGTGTTAATTCACCTGTACCTCCGTCTGATGAGAAACAAGCGAACGAAAAGCAGTCGGTACAGCAACAGAAAAGTGCCAGCTAACGCTTGACGCTGTTGTGCCTCAATGTTTTGATAGATGTCGAGGCTTGTAAAAATTCATTATCTGTAAATTTGAATATATTGAAGATAACGGAAACTAAGGGGTAGATTAAAAAATAGATCTATATATAAATATAAAGGTTCGTCGTGGCGAAGGTCGTTAACGCTTTGACTTTGTATGGACAGGGTCGCGCGTTCGATTCCCCGCACTGGCAATCTGACATCGGGCAGCGCGATGCCTATTTTCAATTGAAAACATAGATCAAAATATGTTTCCAATGGCAATGGGAAATCTCTCACACTATCCTTCCCTGAATCGAGTTGGAGTTTTAACTCAGCTCACGGACCTGCCCTAGGGCAGTACACCCATTATTTATATATATATATATATATATATATATATATATATATATATATATGTTATGTAGAAGTTCTCATACAAAATGGCACTAAATACTGTTAAAGGCCTTGCTGTTTCTGTGCAGTCAGGCGTTTTAGATAGAAAACATGATATAGAAAACGCTTATTTAACTCAAATATTCTCATAATTATGCATCTTGTTGGTGTGGTTTGATAAATTATGATTGAATTCCAAAGACCTTGCACTCCATCGAGTGCAAGTCGAATGCAAAATAAGTGTATAAAGATAGAAGGGGACTATGACGTTACTTGCTGAACGAGCGCTGCCGACAATCGTGGAACACTCCCGATTGATTAAACATCATATGCATGAACTTTGTGCTTGAAATTGTTAAATTGTTGAGAAGAAAAAAATCAGACTATGTAGTGGTTCCTGGAACCTTCCCAAATGATTAAACACCATCATATGCATGAACCTTATAATATATAAACCGATTTTAACAGGTGGATTCGATTTTATGTATATTCAATATCAAAACTCTTACAAAATCATTATTCCACACAATTTACATTAAATTATTGAAATAAAACTATCACATATAATATTTGAATTACATTTACTATTATGATGAAAAATATTTAATATTATTGATATCATTTCTTAGAAAATTATCAGTTATCTCAATTGTCATTATATTATTAAAATAAAACATGACATATAACATTTAACTAATCGGGAATATTCCACGATTGTCGGCAACGCTCGTTCACTAAGCAACGTCACAGTCTTCTTCTATCTTTATAAACTTTATGAAATAGAAAACAAATGAGGACTAGCAGCTTATTTAGTATATGATCTATGGTAAATTTGCTTTTATTGTGTAAAACGTCTGATCTCATAGTAAAAATATATTATTTTGACAGTACTTAGTATCATTTTGTACAAAAACTGCTGCATAACATAGCCTTGCCATAACATTGATCTATTTTACGGCAGAATCAGCCCATTAAATTATTTATATCATTCACGTCTCTTAAAAAATGTTTTTCATTTTTTTCAAATCCTGAACACGCTACGATATCCCAATATAAAAAATATGAATAAAGAAAATCTAAAAGTTTGGTTGGGCCTTTAAAAAATTTGAAGATAACTCACAAAATAAAAAATTTCATAAAATTGCACGTTAAGGTTTTTTCCACGTTTCACAGGAGCCTAGAATACTGCAGAAACTGTGGTCGTTACATTAAGTTATTGGTTTATCATCTTCAGTATTTAGAATAGTTTTTTTATCCTAACCTAATAAAAATATCGAAAAATAAATATCGGATTTTAATAAAATTGACAAAAATATATAAAGTTTTTATACCATCATACCAGGATGCCCAATCAATGAGTTGTCATTCCATTTAGACATTTTTTAAGTACGACCAAAACTTGCTGATATTCTGGATGAAATAGGTGCAAATCTTGAAATTAACAAAAATTTTAAAAAAAGAAGTAAGTTTTAAAAAATGATAAGCTTTTTTAAAAATCGTATAGTGTTTAGAATTCATTTTTTATCTTAAACAATCAATAAGTGCCGGACTTGTTTTCATTGGTAAAAAAGTTACCTTCTTCTTTATTTTCTTCAAGATCTTCTTTAGTAAGCGGCAAACCTTCTGACAAGGTTGTAAGAGTTCTTTCAGTCGTATTGGCACTAAAACCTTGTACCAAATCCATTCTTGAATCCAATGAATATTGTTTTCCAGACATTAATATTCCTCTAATTCGTCGTCGCATCGCAGGACTTTCCTAAAAAAATAAAGAAACAATTGTAATTCTATTAACCTGATAATATTTTCATATATAATAATTGTTAAATATATTGGACAATCCACTAATATAAACCCTGTATTTTTAAATAAAATTAACTTATTTGTAAACAAACCAAACAATTTGTCTGACTGATGTGAAATACAGTATATATATTTTATGTGCAATTAAATATATTTACTAACAGTTTCAAAATTATGTTTATTACCTCTAATCTCAAAGTAGAACAAGCTCTAACAAGCAAATCTTCTATATCATGAATAGCAGCAAAACTTCCATTAATAATTTTTGGTGACATGGGACTATTAGCCAGGAGTAAACTAGATCCAAAAGTATCACTTCTTTCTCTGGTTTCTGAAAACAGGGAGCATTTTTAGACTAATACATCTACTTCTTATATTTCAATGATATCGAAGCACTATCAAAAAAAATAAAAATATTTTTTTACAAATTACTCAAATCGCTGAGCCTAATATTATCGCTACAACGTTTACATTTGTGAGTTGACGTCGATGCATTAAAGTCAGTACAGGTCGTAGAGTTGGATTAAAAATTCAAAAATTCTATTTGTTTTTCGAATATTTTTGTACCTGTACTAGATTCATTCTTAAATGCATCATAATCATAATTTTTGACAAATCGTCTATTTTTTTATAATTATTTAGTATTACATTCACAACCACATCCATTTGTTTCCTCACCACCAAGTGGAACTTTAATCCTCGTAGGTCCTACAAGATATCCATTTTGCACATTGCGTTCCTTAAGGATTTCATCAGCAACTCTGCGAACTTCTGCCCAATCTTCCAAAACATCTTGAATTGTAGTTCGCTGGGATGTGATGGTAAATCGTATCACATATCTTCCTTTTAAAGAAGCAGGAACGCAGTGGACATTTCCACGACTGTTCATTCTTTTTAGGAGCTTTTCGGTTAATTCGTTCTCGCCTTTCAGGCGAAACACCACCATACCTAGAAAAAAAATAGTTATTTGTTTAAACATCAATCAGAACTTTATGAGCTTTTGCAATAAGCTCAAAGTCAACCCAACGGTTGGCATATCTCTATTCGATCAATTTTATTATTAAAATTTGTCAACGGCTGATGGCTTTTAAGTCGATAGAAATATGATACTTGCACTTGGAAACATAATTCATAGTTCACATACATGCATCAAGTGAAAATCTTTAACTGTTTATGAATTTTATCTACTTCTTAGAGCTTATTATCATTCGATTCAAACTTTTTTTTAAGTACGACCAAAATTTGCTGATTTTTGGGATGGAATAGATTCAAATATTAAAATATAAAAAATTATAAAATAAAAAATGAATTTTAATTAAAAAAATGCTAAGCATCTCTAAAAAAATCAAAGTTTTAGAAATTTCAAAGTTCACTTATATGCATGAAATAAATAACTTCAACCGTTCATGATTTTTATTTAATTTTTAGAACTTTTACAAAAGGTTCACACTTAGCCTTTATTTATGTTTCCTCATACTTAAAGATCGTCGCCCAAATATACGCACTTATGTGCTCTTAAATTTATAAAGTACGAATGATGGAATTTAAGGTATTTATAATAATCTATTTGAACATATTTGAAATAATTGTTATTAATTATTCATCAATATTTATTGATTTAGTTTTATTACGTTACAGGAAGTTCCAGCAATTTTTCTTAATGCATAATGCCATGCACGCCTAGTCAATATATTATTTTATTGATCTATCAGGCACCGTGACTATATGGTTTTAACAGTTAATTGAACGTTTAAACTTATAATTTTGATTTAACAGTTCATCCACAAAATCATTAAAATTAATTTTTGCTCAATAATTTTGAACGATATTTTGTACAGTTATATTATATATGCAGATATAGCTTTGTGGTTTTACATGTTGCTATAAAATATTAACCATTAATTGAATCTTGTTTGATAGAAAAAATATTGAGTATCGATTTCCTCCTTTATGCCTTTCAAATATCTAAAATAACAACCTAGTGTCAAGAAATCTATGATTTATAGTTTATACCGGTGCTAAAACCTCACTTATATTAACGCAACTATATAAGGTAATTAGCAATCAATAAAAAAATCGCGTTTTCGATGTGTCGAGATAATTGATAATCATTAAATGCGTTGTCAGCTATTATATAAAACTATACTCGTATATATATATATATATATATATATTATATTATATATATATATATATATATATATATATATATAATGAACATATAGTGTGATTATAAGGTTGAACGATTCTTAGAAGCGGTTGATGAACTCTCCGATGTTCGTAAATGAATATAAAAAATATTCAAGTACACAAAATAAATAATAGATCTATAAAAAAAATTCATACCCACGTTTATGAAATGATTCAACCAACCGATTTAGGCAGTTCAATATTCTTTGAATGAATCGCCAAAGCTATTCGATGATATTTCACTGTAATAATCTTTAGCAAGCTAGGGGACTTAGTATAAAACAATGAGCAAATTGTTTAAATGATATTTTTAACTATCCGTGGGGTAAGTTATAATAATCGCAAAAACATCGAAATAGTCAATTTATATTTATCTTTATGTTTCAAAGCCTTCTGAACATTTTGGAATAACTTAGAAAAATTGTGTGTGCGTGTGTGTGTACGGATACAAATTTTCGCAGCGCGATTGCTTTCAGAAAAAAAGTTTCAAAAAATGTCAAAATATAAAAAAATTATATTTTTGACGGCTTTCACATTTTTTCAAAGATTTCAAAATCTACAAAAATCTAACTTTTTTCAAATTTGTCAAAAAAAAATTAAAGCTTTTTTTAAAAAATTCAATTTTTGGTACCATTTTTTTACAAAATTGTATTTATTTATCAAACCGTTTTTACATCAAATAAATTTTGCTTCATTATTAATCTTTAGCATGTTAGTATTATCTATGTTATCAAATATGTGCAAATTGTTGAAATGATATTTGCGCATTTAATTTTTAACAAACTTTTATCTATTAACCAAACCAGTTTTACATCATTAAAAGTTTTCTTCATTAAATCGTGTAATTTTAAATCAAATAATTTTAATTAAATATATTACAAAATTTCACTCGGTATCCAAGGCAATTTTATGTCATTAAAAGTTTTGCTTTACTAAATCGTATAATTTTTAATTATAAAAAATTAAATTTAAATTATTAGTGAGTTTATAATTTCAAATGGTTATTCAGAATTTAACATCATTATTTTTGTGAAAAAAACATTTGAATTCAAATGGATTTTTAATATTATTTCATAATCCAGTTTTATTATCCAAATGTTTTATTTTTATTTTGTTTTTGCAATTCTAGTACTAAACAATATTTTTTTTATTTCGGCATCTGTTTTTGAAAGAAATAGACACAATTTTAATTTTTTTTTTTATGTTTTGAGAATGATTTGTATCCTTTTGGAGTAAGATAAACCATTATTTTTCAAATTGGGATAATTGGGTTCGATATAAAATGACATTGGATTTTTATTTACTAAAACCCTTAACCTATCATCCAGTATAAAAATGATTAATTTTATTAGAATTAATCAATGATTAACTAATTCCATCATATAGTCTCAATTTAAAAAAAATAAAAAACGGTGATCGAAAAATACTTGCTCGAACGAATTCTCTAAGTAATGAGAAAAGTTATGCCTTTTAGAAACATATTTTAAATTTAGTAATTGATAATCCAATTATTGATTGATTGGATTTGAATTGAACGGATTACTTATAAACTAATTATTGATTATCGTTTACCTAAATGCCTAGCAGCAGGTATTTCAAAATCTGGATCAGATTTAATGAGAAGTTCGAACTTTTTGGCTAATTTTACACCCTGAAATAAAAAGTACAGATGAAGATTTTAATATTTGATTAAAATATGTGAATTACGTATGTTTTTTTATTTACCTGTCTTATATGATTTTGCAAACCAACTATTCCAAAACTTCTGATAACAAACCATAATTTCAAAGCACGAAATCTTTTACTCAAAGGTATTTGCCAATGCTAGAAAATAATTATTAAATAAAATTAAGTAGTAAAATAATTATATATGCGTCATCATCAAACATCTAAAAGTTTATAAGTTTCACATTGCAAATAATGTTATATCTTATAGTTAATATATCAGTTAGAGAAAATACAATATTTTTATAGACATTATGTTGTAAATGTGGAAGTCCATGAAAAATTAATTTCTAAACCACAAATAAAAAAGCTCCAAAATTTCTTACTATTGCAGAACCTACAAAAAATTGGTCATACTTTACAAACTTTTATAAATGAAAAATATTATTTATAATTTTGGATAAAATCCACGAGCAAACTTTTAAAACTATGATATATGTATATGTATATAGAATAATTTCTTTAATAATTTAGGTTAATTTTGTAACAATGTACATTAACAGATTTAAATTAATAGATAATTAACCTTTGATCAATCAATAATCTCGACAAAACTTTCAGTAATATCTTCTTCCGTAATTAAAAAGGTCAAATGCTATTTCCAGTGAGTGAGTTTTTTACTTCTATTTAGTATATTAAATTACCGGACAATTATATTAGCACACTTACCATATAATCGATAGCTAGACCTAATGTAAAAGAATAGTTTTTACTTCTATAAGATAACACAAACAAAAAATATTTAAAAATTTTGTTTAAATAAAATACCTGAATTTTCATGTTGCAAATATAGAGGATCGACGTTGAATGTTCGATGTAAAGATTCGCTGTTTTTCACCCTGGAAATAAAAAATAATTTGTTTTTTACACATTAGTGTTACGATTCGTTATAAATATTTACAATGACTTAGTTATTAATAATTTAATTTATACTATACTATCTGACACATGTGAATAATAAAGTATAGGGGGAAGTCCCCTAGTGGCGCACACCTAAGGTTATTTATAAATGAATCAAAAAATATTTTACGAAATGTTTATTAAATTATGATTTTTGTTAGATAACAAAGTTAGAAATCATACTGAATTAACAAAACCGCAATGTGGGCTGAAAAATAGTTAATACTATCAATCAAACTTTGGTATCAAAAAATATGATTTTAAACAGTGGCACCTAGTACCGGACATTTCAAAATAACCTGCATTGATCACATATATAGGCAACTCAACACTTTGGAATGTCTGCACATGTGTCTTTGACGAATATTCTTAGATATTGCAAAAAATGTCACTATTCATCTACCCTTTTGGCTGGGCCACACCGATGCTTTCAGCTGGTGCATTCACCTAAGCTTTTCATTCTCTGACTAGGAAATACGAAAAATGGGGGTATGTAGTGACCGTTAGCTCTCATACAGAACAAAATTAAATAATTGGAATAAATTACGTAAATTCTCACAAGAAATATCAATATGTTTACTGTCCGGCACTAAGGGACGACTTAGTGTCCGGTGATAAGGGACAGACATTTCGTTCATTTGGTGGCACCTACTAAAATTCGTTAAAAGATCTAATACTATTCTACCTTTCTACGAATAACAATCAAGTAGAATTTTTATCTTTGCATACCACTCAATTGTAAATGAATAAATATGCTAGAATTACTTTTATTGATATTTAGGCGATGCCTTGATTTTGCGCCTAAAACAAGAAAGGGTTGCTCTCGCCGTGGCCGTGTGCGTCACAGGCGAAGCTTGGCGCGTGATCCTGTCCTTGTGTGCGCCCCATGCCCTTTTCACTTGTATTTTGAAATGATTTATACTCGCTTAAATAATGCGTGTTAAATAGAATGTCCGGTGCTTAGTGCCGTCCGGCGTTACGGGACTTTCCCCTAGTTTTTTTTATAATAGCATATTATAAGAATATTCACAACCAGAAAATTGAATATTGCATAAATATGTAAATTAATTTGCATATTCATTTCTGATACGGAACTACTCGTGTATATAAAATCATAACTGATATTCCTTATTTTTTCATCAAATCAAATATATAAATTCTAATCTAATAAAATATATCAGAAATTGACTAAGGTCAGCAGTTCGGTTGCTTTCTAAAATAGCTACGCAGTTAAGAAATTATTTTATTTAAAACATAAATTTAAAATTTAATATCAATCGCTAATAATATGTCAATTTATTTTAGGCACACTTGTAAAAGTAATAATTTTGAATTTCATATCTGGTTAGTTGATGAAAAAAAATGCTGCATTTTAGTTCTATTCTATATTTAGGAATCATAATTACTTCTAATTATTTCGTCAATTTGATATTAGCACACTTTTAAAGCGAAAAGTACTGAATTTCATAATTTGATTTAAAGAGCTGAATCATTTATATATTATGTACGTTAAAATCGTCCAATAATATTATAACAGTAATCTGATACGATTTGCATAAAGTAGTGTCATTTCAATAAAGTAACGTAGGTCAACATTAATTGAACATGAATTATTAAATGTAACTGAATACGAACGAAATACGACTATTTTTATATCACTGACTTAATTAGTGGAAGTTAATTAAGTCATACGAGCTAAAAGTTTTTCAACAATTTTTGATAACATCGTTGAATTTCAGTTGCAATATTCGAATAGAATGAGTTGATGTGGAGACTTATATTAGCCATTTTTCAATTTTTTACAAATTTTTAAATAATTTTACAAAGTCAGTATTATATTTTTATTCTATGTAATAAATAAAAACAAGTGGCTTCAAAAATATCTTGGATTTTTTTCTAATTTGGTATCGAATAGTTTTGAATTATGTTTCAGAAAAATGAGTAGAGTTTATTAAAAATCGATCAAAAGCAAAATAATTGCTTTAGAATACCAAAAATCAGCCTCAATACTATTCTAAATTTGACTAAGGCACTGATTTTACTTTGCACTATTTTTACTGAATTTTATTTAAAAATGTTTTTGAATTGTAGGATCATAATTACCTGATGATAATATTTAAGAGACGTAGTAAAACATACTATAAAACGTTAAAAAGAAATTAATTTTATGAATTTTTATTGTATATATAATAGAAACGTCAAGAGTCAAGTAAGACTTACGAAATTCATAATAAATTAATTTTAATTATTAATTTCCTGTAGAGGGTAAGTTATTGTAATCGACTAAAAATAAAAAATGTAAAGTTTGCATATCTTTACGTTTCAGAATTTCGGAACATTCTGGTTCACCTTAGAAAAAATGTGTGTATGTATGTGTGAGCGTATGTGAATACAATATTTTGTCCACGTTTTCGGACCATGGATCAACCGATTTGAATGGTTCAAAACGCAATCGATTCCTATTGATAAGGAGATGTGCTGATTAGTTTTTAGCAAAAGTCGGTTCAGCCGTTTCGGAGATACGAAGCAAAGTGTGCAGAAAATAGATTCAGTTTTTGGGAGCATTCGGAGATTGAAGCATTCAATTCAATTTTTTTTCTATTTTTTTTTTATTTATTTATAATTAGCAATCAGTATACATATCCTATAAGCTAATGTGTGACGTATACACAGAATAAAAATGAAATAAAATAATTGAAATAAACAAATAAAATGAGTCAAAAAACATTCAATTTGTTATAAGACGTGGTAATGAGTTTTTAATAAAGACAGACCTAGCCGTTTTGGCGATAAAGAACTAAAAGTGTAAAAATGGCAGTGTTTGACAGAACAAAGCTGCCGATTTGATTAATTCATAAAACATTTTGCTAGTGAAGAAAAAAAAAATTAATTCTTTTTTCAAATATTAAAAATTTTAATTTATTTAGATTGAATATAATGGATTTTAATTATAATTTTAACTAAAATTTCTAAACTCTCTTATATACTTCAAATAAATAGTTTTACCTTTGCAATTTAGTTTATATAATTCTTAAAAATATTAGAAAAATTCCTTCGTTCTAACTCCATTTGATTAAGTTTTGTTTATTTACTGTAAACATGTAAACATATATAAACGTCGTCGTCCATTTTATAAACTCTTATATTTTGTCTTATAATAATTAAATAATCTATTTGAAATCATTCTCGAATATTTAATTACGGTACGGAAAGTTCCTGCAATTTGCCTGAAGGTACGATGCAATGCACCACTAGTTTAAAGTTGATATAATATAATGCAAATGTTTCGGCCTTATTTTTAGAACTGTTCTATCTAATGATCTATGGTTCTTTTTCATTATCATTAGGTGGAAACTTAAAAGTAGATAGTTAGTTGATAAAGAGATATAAATAATATAAACTACCACAAAATAGCTCTGATTTATAGAAAATGAGTTTCGGTACTATTCTAAATTTTACTAACTGTAAGACTTTCATTTATACTATATTTACTAAATTTAGTTTAAAAGAGCATCTTGATTATAAGCTAATTCTAAGATAATAATATATAATATAAATATTAGAAATAATGATTATTTTTCATTTACCACATAGCCGTGCAATCGAAATGCACCATCAGCCATTTGGACGGATTGAAGGCTATCGAATCTGCACGTTCGACACCTTGAAGCCAATGTCGAAATTCAGGGCAGAGGAACGCACTGCCCGCGTACGCCGCATCCACGTGCAACCACAGATCTTCTTCTGTACAAACATCAGCAAGTTCGATTAAGTTATCGAATGAGCATGCCCCTGTCGTACCCAGAGTTGCGCATACCTAATAAGGTAATTTTCATTTATTGAAATTTATTAAATGTATATATATATATATATATATATATATATATATATATAGGTTGGCAACTAAATAAGTGCGGTTTGCTTTTGCTTAAGTTAACTGACGTAAATGTAAAATATCTTTTGTTAATGTATAGACGGCAATTTAGATGTCCATCGGTAAAAAAGATAAGTTTTTTGATAAATTGCGTAGGTTTCTGTTGAAATATGGAAAATCAAATTGAAAATGTATGCAAAAGTAAAATGGCATGTTAAGCTCAAAAAAAGTTGTGAATTGTTTATAGGGAGCAAGCCTTAAAAATAAAGCTGTGTCAAGAATAGTTTGCCAAATGTTGTTCTGCTTATTTTTCACTTAAATATGAAAACGCTCTGGTTTCGTGAAGTTGAAGTTGATTACAAAGGAATTGTCTACTTTACTCTTACCACCCAACCGAACTATCTAATGTTCTAATGTCTACATTGAGCAATTAACAAAATTAAACAATGCAGGCGAAGAATAGCGGCCTAAATTGGCAAATCGATACGGTGATTTATTCCTTATTTGTTGGCATCATATATATTTTGTTACTCGGCAAAAATTATTAGAACTTGGTTGGGATAGTTTGCTATAGCCACCATACAGTCTTAAACTTGCACCTTATTACTTTTGATTTATATCTGTACAAAACCCCTCAAATGCAATACGATCCAATGATTATGACGGTGTCAAATTGTACCAAATTCTTAATTATATATAATTATAATTATAATTATAATTATAAGTTTTTGCTTATAAAAAGCACAAGTTTTAAGCAAGTGGGATAATGATGCTGTTCGAAAGCTGACAACAAGTTATTGATCAAAATGGACAATTCCTCACAAAAAAAAGTTATTTAGTTTCAGAAAAAAATATTTATTTTTCTCAAGAAAACTGTGCTTACTTAGTTTCCAACTGCGATTTATTTACAATCCTAGCAATAACTGCAATCCCTTAGCAATATTTATTAACAGTCACAAATGTTGGTGATTATACAAAAATGCAGTGCAATTACCAGTTGATCTAATTTCTTCAATTTGTATATAATGTTTAGATGTTATCACATTCACAAAAACATTTCCATCAAAATTAAAATCACAGATGTATTCTAGTCTCCCGCAGTTACTTTTTCACAAATGATAGCAATTTGTTTCCGTTAGTCATTTGCTACATGGTAAAACATTCGAAAAACAATGATAAGACATTTAGAATAGCCACACCCACGATTTTATATCCGGTCTGTGCAATTATAATAAACGAAGTCGATTCTATAAGCTAAAAGCATTGCTGTTCTACAAGAAGCAAACGCTCTAATCCGTTTCACGGTATTATTATAATTAATTGGCTCTCTGGGGAGTGAAACGTCAGCAAGTTGACTGAAATCCTCTGTGACAATCAAACTAATATCATGCCCAACGTGCAATTACTTATTGGAAAAAATACTCCAGAGAAATGCTTCTAAAGAATATCGCAACATTAGAAATGTATCAAATTTTATTTGGTTGGGAAAGGAAATATACAGAAATTGTAGTTCCATATTATATTGTACTACAATCTCGTTAGAAGGCACATGCAATCTAAAAATATAGTAGTATTATTAAAATAATTTTAAATACAGTGGTACTCCGACTCACAAATAACCTAACATACAAGTATTTTGAGATATGAGCCACCAAATTAGCGATTCGTTGCTTCGACATACGAGTAAAATTCGAGATTTGACCCTCGAGCGATTAAGAGCTTTCTAGAAGAATGTTAACGACAAAATGAAAATATGCAAAATTTGATCAGGCTTAACCATGATTTTTCTACCATAAAAGTATTTTGGGTGTTTTATGATAGTAATTTATTTTATAGTTAGTAAGTTCAATTTTATATTAATATTAATTATGTAGTAACAATTTACCCACGCAAATTTATCTAGTATCATTTTAACACTTGAAATTTTGATTATACATTAATAGTGATTGTACAGTTAAATATGTTGAGTTAGTATTTTTTTTTTTTGCTTTTCGTATATTCACAAAATATTTTTAGTTCAATAACCATGGATCCAGAAAAAGGGCCATGTCTTTTGAATTAAAGCTTGAAATTATTATTACATGAGCTTCGAGCGTGTAAGAGTATTCTAGAAAAAAAATAATGGCAAAATGAAAATATGAAAATTTCATCTGTTATAAAATTGATTTTACTACCATAAAAATATTGTGGTGTTTTACGGATGATGGTGAATTATTTTATAGTTAGTCAATTCAATTATATATTACAAATAATTATGTAGTAAAAATTTATGGAGAATTATTTTAACGTTTGAATTTTTGACTATACATTACTATTGATGGCATAGTTAAATATGTTGAGTTGGCGTTTTTTTGCTTTTTATATATTTACAAAATATTTTTTACTTCAATAACCATATGTTCAAAAAAAGGACCATGTTAATTGAATTAAGGCTTGAAATTAATAAAAAAATATAAGGTGGCAAGGATTTACTAGCACTGACATATACTGTATTACATAATATTTGTTTCTTTAATAGCTATGGGTCCAAAGAAAACGGTCATGTATCTTGAATTAAAGCTTGAAATTATTGAAAAATATGAGATGGCGAGGATTTATCAGCACTGATGCTCACTGTTGAAAGAGTTGATTAAAGGTATAACTCCAGCTAAAGGCCTTTCAATAATTTATAACCAGCTTTCTAAGCTCTAAAAAGTTTAGGTTTTGGACAAAAATCTCCCAAAAAATTTGCAATAGTTCGACAAATTTAATTTGTTCAATAAAAGACGTCTAACCGCAATACCATGAATGGACAATGGACATAATTAAATTAATAAATACTAAATTTATTTTTAATATTGAAAAAACTCAACAAAAACCACCATGCTGGGACTAATTATTAGCATTTCAATATATTGCTTTGAGATACGAGCGATTTGACATACGAGCATGATTACGAAACGAATTAAAGTCGAATGTCGGGGTACCACTGTATATGGTTTATAAATACCCAGAAAGGAATCAGTCCTTTTTTTCTGTCTTCTTCTATACATTTTTTCAGAGCATCGCCTCGCATGCTTAGATCCTCGTCCGATTCGATGTAATGCAATAATACTAAACCTAAAAATAATAGCATATAATTAAGTCTTTGCAATCCTGCAGCCGCTTTGTTCGTGTAGTAGAATCACCTATCAGTCCGGCCTTCTCGACGCTGGAGTGCGCCTGATCGGAGCAGTATGCCACTAGTCTAGAGTTTATATCGCTATCCGATAATTTAGGGTTGGTTTCCTGGCATTTGCGTATAATCCGCGACCTCCCAGCCAGCAAACATACTAATGTTGCTTCGCTAGCGGTTGTCTAAATATCAAGCAATTGTTATACGAATAGCGGATCATAAAATTAGTACTTGCAAACGAATATTATAATTTGAACCTGAATGACACCGCCGCCCAGACTCGTGCTTCTAACATGCAGAAAATCTTCGGGCAGACCGATCATTTTGCCTAGCCAATTCATGACGATCATTTCGAGTTCCGTACAAGCTGGAGACGAAGCCTTTGATTGACAATAAATCACATGTTGTTTAAAAAGTCTTTATAATGCATTTTGCCGGTTCATCGATTCCAAGTATTCTTACCCAAGTGAAACCCAAACAATTGATTGCATCAGCCAACATGTCGCCCAGAAGCGAAGGAAACGAATTCAAAGCCGGGAAGTAGGCGTGCATGTGCGGACTTTGCCAATGTGTTACCTACGTAATAATAGATACTTCATTAGTAATTACAAAATTCTCAAAATTGTATCTAATCAACAATTATTTAATAAGTATTATTCAATTCTCAAAATCTCAATTAATATTGTTCAATGAAACATTTAAATATATTGCGAGGACCGTTTGATTTAGACTGATTCATTTACTACTAATTCAAAGCTCAGCTTAAAATTTTGATTTATTTACATCTACATATACAGGATATCCCAGAACTCAACGTCAGGCCAATACGAGGTGATAGTATTGATCGTAACTATCATGAAAAAAAAATAGAAAAAAAAAATCATGTAATTTAAAAATTATGAGTTTTCAAGTGCAACCTAGAGCTTTGGTGAAGCTATGACTATTTTTCGATCATTTGAGCAAATTTTTGATATTTGTGTGAATTTAAACTTTGTATCGGTAACCATAAATGACATTTCTAGGACCAGATCAAAAATAATTACATAATAGCTCGAAGTTTTCAAAAATTAGGACTTTTCGCTATGAATTTAAAAATTTCAAAATTGATGTATTTTGAGAAGCTTTAAAATCAAAAGGTAAATAATTCTTGATAGTTTAATGATAAAAATCATAGTTAAAAAATATATCAAATTTAAAATGATTTTTTCTAGTATACTTTATTCACAATCAGTTCAAATGTTTGTTGTACTTTGACTGAATGTGAGCAAAATGCATTAGCCGTTATCGTGTTATTTTTAAGTTTTATTTTTTACATCGATTATTTTCATTATAAAACTATTAAGTGTTTTACCATTTTATAATACTGATTAAATGGGCCAACTTTTGATCGAACTTACCAACACGCCTTATTACATACTTTTAAAGGAGAGTTTCTCGAATAAAACATTTTTGAGAATTTTAAGTTCATAGTTTAACAAAATGTTTTATTTTTGGAAACTTGGTGCAGTTGTCATTATTTTTGAATGTGGTTTCAGAAATGGTCCTTGTGGTCTTAGAAATGTTATTTACTTTCGGTCATGGATCCAACGTTTAAACCAACATAATTAATAAAAATTAACTACATTAACCTAAAAATGATCACATTTTTACCAAAGCTCTAGTTTGCACTTTCAAGCTCATAAAAGTACATGGGATAAATTGTTTTTTTTTTTTCATTTTATGATAGTTACGATCAACACTATCACCCTATTTTGGCTTGACGTTGAATTCTAGGACACCCAGTAAATGCATATTAGCATATTCTGAAGAATACAAATGTTGCTGGAAAATTCCATGGACGCAAGAAATGTCCTAGAAGTGTGACATAAATGAAGTAGTCATTATGAATTAATAGATTAATTGATTTAATCAAATTAGTAGGACTATTTGATTTTGACCAATTCAATTACTACTCACTCCGGGCATTATCAGCCTCTCGACATCGCCTATGATCTGTTCCCATGGCTCGCCGTCGATTGGCGCGCTCTCCGGCATCATGGAACGCAGGTAGCCCGGCTTAACGGCCGGAAACACCTTACGATCGCGTATGTTTTCAAGATAATCGGCTATGTAATCCACCATTTCTTTGCCTTAAGGATATAGTTGAATGAGATTCAAAATTAGTCATATTTCCTAATCGCATTAAGAAGCTACTGTTATTTGTTGTTTCAATGATTATCGATTTATACAAATTTTAGGTATTATGCTACATTAGCCTAAAAGCCCGTTTTCACGACGCTTGTTTCGTTGCTTTTTGGTCTGCCGGCTAGCATGCTGGTTATCAAGTAGACAAAATGACATCGTATCGATCTTAATTTGTTTCAAGCAAGCGAAATTTTGCTTTTAGAACGTGCGCTATTTTTGTGAATGGATCATAGACCTATGAATAAAACCCGAATCACACGACATTTATTTTCTGGGATAGTATTCTTGATCTTTAAGTGTGATTTGTTTTAGCTTGCTTGATTTTTGAGTGTGATTTGTTTTGGCTCGCTAGATTTTTGAGTGAAATTTGTTTTAGCTTGCTAGATTATCAAATATTTTAAATCGCATGACCAAATACTGCCACCTTATTGGTTCGAACAAATCCATTTACAAAAATACCGCACAAAAAAAAAACATCCACAAAAAAACTCTCCTGAGGACGTTAGATCGACCCATTCTTTTACAAGACGTCGTCTAAAGTAAAATGGAAGAACTAAAAGGAGTGGGAAGAAAAAAAATATTGATGGTTGATGACTTACTTGAGTCTTCTCAAGTAAAATACAGAGAACTGAAAGCCAAATCACAGAATTAAAAATCATGGAAGCAGAAGTTTGGAAAAAAAATGAATAAAAATGTGAAAAATGAAAATAAAATGGCTATAAAAATAATAAACAAGTGACAGAAAAGAAATCATTGATTTGTGGTGCTTCATACCAGGGACCTGCTCTCGGGCAATCTTCTATGTTTTTATTATAAATATATGTATATATAACAGCTATGAGATTTACAAAAGTGTATAATGAATGCTTTTATTCTGTGTATTAATAACAGCAGAAATTTAATTATAATCCATTAATTATAAACAAAAAAATGAATATGTATGTATGGATCTGATACATGAACTCTAAGGAAGGTCAACAAAAACTATCTCTTCGATTTTTATATGTGTTGTGGAGATGAATGGACAAGATAAAATAAACCGACAAAGGTAACAAATAAAAAGTGCTCTTAAGTGTAGGTGAGAAAAGAGCTTTACTGGATATTATTATAAATAGAAAAGAAAACGGAATCACAGTTCTATATCTGGAAAATAGTGTAATCTCTGCACGATGAAGAGAAAGAAGTCTTAATAATAAATAACTTCCCGTTGGGTAAGTTATAATCGTACAAAAATCGAAAATGAAAATTTTTGCATATTTTTTATATTTAATGGTCTTCTCAACATTTTGGCATACCCTAAAAATGGATGTATGTGTGTGTGCGTGTGTAATTTACGGATACAATTTTCCGTCCGCGATTTTGGTAGCACGGATAAACCGATTTGAATGAATAAAAAAAACACTCGATCGACTAAAAGTGCAAACAATAGCAGATTTTGAGAGAACGGAGCATTAGTTTAGAATGATTTAAACAACATTTTATTTGTATTGATGGGGAGACATGCGGATTAGTTTTTGGCAAAAGCAGGGCTAGCCGTTTTGGAGATATGAAGCAAAACGTGAAAATTTTTTTTTGAAAGCAGTTTCTTGTAAACATATGTAAAAGTCGTCGCCCAAATATGAGCACATATATCAGATCTATAAAATACAAATGAGGAAACTTGCAATAATTATTTGAAAATATTTAAAACAATTGTTATTTATCATTGAATGTTTAATTCAACGGTGCAAAAAGTTGCAGCAATTTGTCACAATGCCATGCACTAGTATTTCTTTTTGTTGGATGACCCTTTGGATTAAATATACCTCAGATGAGGCTAAATTCGACCGAACTGTTCTCGATATTCAATGTTAAAGTTGGATTTCTATGATTTATGCATATATATTATTGAAAATGAAACTATATTGAAATTGTCAACGGCAGCAAGTGCTAACTAAGAATAATACTGAATTTATTCAATGAATTTACACCATATGAAATCTTTTCAATGCGTGCGAGGACACCCGGACGCAAATCCGGGGGCAATAAAAGTAATCCCAGATCATTGGATCCACATTCGTATTTACATATAGGTACATATATTACGTATACTGTGTACTGTTATATCCTCTACGGCTAAATCTCAGAACATTTCTTTATATAACAACAGTTTATGGCGTCCATACTGAAGTCTAAACGATCATCAAACGATGAAGCCGTTTGCTTTATTGAATTCAAGAAAGCACCATATATATACATCCACATATATATATATATATATATATATATATATATATATATATATATACCATCTATTGGCAATATTGTTCTAATATTTCACTACGGTCATAATTATATCTCATAAAAATGAGATTAATTCAAAAGTCTGATTTTTTTCTAAAAAAAAATTCATAATGACTAACAAAGGAAAGAATTGGTTAATATGTTAAAACTAATTGCAAAATATGGAATTTCATGAGTCAAATTTTAATATTTTATACTCTTTTTGTTTTTGCTTCATAGACCTTCAACATTTCAAATAAGATTAGGTCTTTTATTCAATTTGAGTTTAGATTTGAATTTATTATTTGAACATGTAATATTTTATAAATATTAAGTTATTGTCTACTAATTAATAGATAAAAAATGATCCTATTTATGATTTTTATCGGATTTGCATTCACAACATGCAATTTTTTGGATTAAGTGCCAAAGAGGATTTGCGCAAATTGAAAAAGCACTAGGTGTTCAATAAATAATATTTAATGTAAATCTGTTCGGTGAAAACCTAGAAGTCACCTGATTTGAAAATACAGATGAAAATAGGTTTTGAAGTGAATTTTTGATAGCCCTTATCTAAGAATTGCTGCTTTAAATGTAGGAATATTAAAAATTAGAAAAATCAAATATGCATATGATGACCATTGGGTTGTCTTCTTAAGAATTATCAGCGCAACATACAATAGGACTTCTTTTGATTACTGTTCAAAGAACAAATAAAAAATGTATAATTAAAATATATAATTAGCAAAACAAATATTTCAAATTTCAAATCAAATTTAATATATAATCAAAAAAAGCACAAGTTACTTCTAATGAAATTTGCTGGGTTTTGCCCAATTTTTTAGCATATACAAAAAATAGTTTGGATTAGGGTGCGTCCATTAATCACGTGAGGCTTTCAGGGGTTGATGCGGTTTGACAAAAAATCACGAGGGGAAAGAGGGGCTTTGTTAAATATCACATGTATTTAGTTTTTACCTAGATTTTCAAAAAAAACAAATTTTACGTTTTTCGTAAATTCAAAAAATTCGTTCGGAAAATTTTACGTAATTAAAAATACACGTGATGTTTAGTGGGGGAGGGGGGGTAATTCTAAATACAGCGACGTATCACCAAGGGGGAGAGAGGGTCTATATTTCTATCATTACCAATAAAAATGTAAAAAAATAATAATTACGGTTTTAATGAACTAGAAATTACAATAAGGACTAGAATTCTCAATAGTTTAACTCATAGTGATAAATGATATGTCGTTCATGGACGACATACGTAAACATAGCCCTGTGGATTAATATAGCAAAAGAGTTAATTTCAATAACATTTTAAAGAAGAATTTAATATTTGTAGTATTTAGAGTTATCGTAATAAAATGCCAAATTCTTAGAAATATACATTTTTTATGATTACTTTACAATTCATTCTGTGATCTGTTAATGAAAGCTATTAATCGAAAAAGGACAGCAATTTAGCAATATATGGAAAAATGATAAAATTAAGATTTTTCTTGAATCATAAATTTTCAAAATTATTTTATAAGCTTTTCATTATTTTTTTAATACCTAATAAACCTACTTCGTTCATACATAACAACGTTCTTGAAAACTGTAATGTATATTATTACTATTATAAAATTATTCCATCATAACCTACTAGTATGTACCGCATTCGAATTATGAATTATTATTGGGTGTCACAGGTCACTATGATTGTGGTGTTAACGTTAATTAATACAATCATAGCGTGTACCTATAAACGCGCCATTAGTCATGTAATGGGATTTATTCAACGGTACTTCTGCAAGAAATGATTCTAATGATATTGCAGAAATATGAATAAATAGCTACGGGCATTATGTTTATGTATACATATAAATATATATATATATCTATATATATATATATATATATATATATATATATATATATATAATTTTTATATATATTTAATAAATTATAAATATATGATATATAATTTTTGAATTTCTTTGCTCCCAGGGGCTCAGAAGCTTTCAAATTGATAAAAATTAATGCTCTGAAAGTTTTAGCAACTAATATTAACTTTAAGATAGTCTGCATTCCAACCAAAGTTTCTATTTGTAAAATTCATCAAATTTTTGTTGTATTTTTTTTTTATTCGTGATCAAAATAAGTAAATACAATGTTACATATTCTCAAAATCTTGATTCATTTGTTGCTAAGTTATAAAATTCTAAAAAAACAAGTAGAATTTTACCCTTGTTATTACCATAAGAAACTTTGGTTAAAGTGCGGACTATCCTGAAGTTTCGATTTTTTATCATAAATGAAAAATTAGAGCTCCTGGAAGCAAAAAAAATTAGTAATATCCATATTAAGGATCACCCTAATACATATATTTATATATTTATATAGATTTTGTAAAATATGATAAATTAAATTTCATTAAATATATTATGTATTTAAAAAATTGAGATATTAATTGAAACAAACTATAAAGCCTTTGAATTTGTAATTTTCATCACCGATGTCTTAAACCAAAGCCGAAAATAGACGTTTGTTAAGAAAGACTGAAATTATACTACCATTATTTTGGTTAATTGGAATTTCAAGCAATTATTTTATAAAATATAATAGAATTTTACTCACTTTTATTTAAATTTTATTTAAATTTTGTTACCTCTTTTTCTGTACTCCTGAAAGTCCATTTCTATCAGTGCACTGAGATTTATAGCCTAAATAGCAATATATGTATTTTATCAAAAATAATTTCACAATAATTGAATTTGACAAGTAGAACTTTAACTCTATATTAAATAGAATTAATTTTATTTTTTATTATATTTATTTGCTGTTAAATGTTAAAAATATGTATCTGAATTAGTTAATAGAATAATAACTATTTAACTAATTATTAGAATAAATGAACTATTCAAATATGCAACCGAATACCTACCGGTAGGTAATTTTAATTTTTATTATTCAAGACGCACAATTTTTTAATATATTTTTTAATATAATAGAATTCTTACAAGCCGCACTACTATTGTTAGGGTAGATGCCGTATCAGTACTGTAGCATCAACAAGTGATATTTCTCGTTTTTATATGCGGCAGAAACAAATTCTTACCCTCTGTCCACCCTCCAGCATCACTAAGAAGTCCGCCCCAAGCTCCGCCTATGCTCTGAGACCGATCAAGAGTTACTTAAATGGAATAAAATGCTTGGAGTACGTCTGTTTTGTAATGATCATAGTTTCTTCTAATTAATTAGAATTAAAGTAGTGGAGACAGGGTAGAATTGTGCCAGGTTACGGTAGTAACAGTCGTCATAACAACTAAACTGATTTTGAGATAGCTTAAAGGGAAAAGATGAAGTATGTTTGTTCGAACAAGTTTCCATTATTGCATTGAATCAGCATACTACATTACCATGATCTGTATACCAAGTTGCTTTCAAAGTGCCAAAAGTAAGTTTTTTGTTAGATTTTTTTCAATAATAACTGTTACTTGCATACAGATAGATCACTATGTTAGTAAAATGTAAAGTTGAAAAATAGTAGTTCATTACCAGCAATAAATTTGTTTTATGTGACATGTATGTGTTGTGACATGTATTTCTTGTTCTTTTTGGGTGAAATTTGAAACAGATGAAGAAAAATCTAACTTAACTAATTGTAAGACGAAACACGTAAGAGAAATAAAAAAGAAAATTCAATGCAAGAAAACAAACGATTTCATGAAGAGTTCTTGTTTACAAAATTATGTTTTGCTATATATTGTTTACAAGATTTGTTTAAATGATTATATTATTATATTATTATATGTTGTGTTTTGTTACCTATTTCTGACAATAAGTCTTTATAAATCATATTGGTGTTTATAGCTATTTTTTTAACCTATTTTTATGCCTGTCACAACCGTCCTTAGGGTGTAAAAGGTTGTGACATTCGCTCTTTTCTTGTATAATTTGATTTTATGACTAATCCATCGTATTTGAGGACATTATTTCAGTATTTTCTCGCAGATAAATGTTCAAATTACCATTTAAATTACTTTTCTTGCTGATCAAAAAATGGCAATATCGTACCCAGTCTCCTCTATATATAGCGAATCTGAAAGTATTTATAGAAAATGCAATGAAAAACTCAATGCATTGAAGTGGGATTTAATCAATTTTGCTAATTATATAATGAGGATATCTATGTATGAAATTCTTCAACTCTCTCAAATAATGTTTTTGTTTTTGTGTCTTATGTTTTCTACATTTAGTATGTCGCTAGTAAATTTGCATTACAAATGCTCATACTGTGCAATGAAATATATGTTCAATACACGGTTAAACTTCAAATGGATGCATGTGGAGTTCCATAAAGGTTTACCTAGTTATAAGATATTTATTCTAAACAAGTGCGTCTATTAGTGTGCATTGTTGTAAGACACATACAATCATATGGGTAGTTTACACATACACAAAGTACAGTTGTAACTAAACGCAAAGGCAAGGCAGTATGTCCAAAAGTCATTGACCGCCAACGTATAGCTGTAAAGTGAGGCCCGGAATGAGTTGAAACGGTGCCCGTACAATCATTACATCGTCGTCATACTCCTCTGCATAAGTGTTTGCGTGTACTCACATATGCCGGTGTCATAAGTGTGTGCGTGCCATGTTAGGCCCCCTGGTAGCGAACTCTTCAACACACCTCTGCCGTACAAACAGCACTCCGAAGACGCGCGCGTGCTGTTCTGTCCTGTCAAATCGAGTGTCGCACGCGGTCGCATCGCCTAGAAAACAAAGAGGAAGAAGCAATTCGGGAAAAGTTTTCGCCGTTGAAGAGTTTTTCCTTGCTTCATCGCCGTGGTGAGGAGCCGAAGAATACTTGAAGAGTAACGGCTTGGGCGACTGGAACACACCGACTACCGTTCCGCATCGCCCCCACCCTCGAGGACGAGATACGTCTGCGGGAGCCTCCTAACGGGCCTTCTCGCGGCGGTCAGTGGCTCGCGCCTGCCGAGTTAAGGTCGACTCTCATACGCCATGACGTGTATACACCACCGTGTCAGTCAGTCAGTGCAAATCTCGCGTCTTGACATATCCGCGGCATCGTAACATCGCGGGTTCCGGAACTACCCTGACAATTTCGCAATTATAGTGTCGTGGTGACAGTGAAAATTCGATATGGAGTCAACCGGATGACAATAGCTTTATCTGTCAGTTCAATGAAAGAAAATTTAATTTTGAAAAAATAAACAACATTTTATTAGTTAAATGCAATAAACAAGTACATTGGATTGTTATTGGTTTTGTTTGTTCGTGATTTTTCTAAATTTTTGTGCTAATATTTGCCGTGTGAAAACGGATTATATCTAAAGATGCCAAGCACCATACGAGGTGAGTGAATTTAGTGTATTTTACTATTTTTATTTTTGTGTGTGTTGGTTGAATTTTGGATTACGCAAACGTATCTCGCAGTGGCGCAACGTGGACCAATGTTATGTTGTTCCGCGAGATCGGCGGCCAACGACCCTTCCGGGTTGATCTTCCTTTCGTATTGTTTAAAAGGCAGCACGTACCGTTCGGCACGAAGACGTGTGCCGTATATGTCCTTGCCCCTGAATGCGTGAATCAGCCCGTGCTCAATTGCATAGAAACACACTGTATCAGATGTCAACACATTGTAATCATAATCATGTCGTCGAGTTAATGAACTTTCAGAGAACTCGCTGTAGTGAGTCCGATTTGTTTGTTTGTGTGTGTGTGCTGTCATCATCGTGTTTTCTGTGACGTCACCTGATATTGATGAAGTTCACATTGATAGCGATGCTTAGCACCGCGACTTGAGCTCGTACGGCTGTTCTTTATTTCGCGCTAATCCAATAAACCCCAACAGCAATCGATGTCAGTTGGCAGGGACGCCGCAACATGTCATAAATAGCATTCATCAACGATTACATATGCATGCAGCAAACCATGCGTATTGCGCGATCTGCTTTATGAGGCGATCACGCGGTACATTTCTTAGCGGTAAAAATAATTGCAAATGACCGCAGATACATGCCGTAATATGTTTGAAAATAGTTAAATGTAATTGCCACTCGAGTTCCCGGCGTGTTGAAGAAATTACTTAATACATAAATAAATACTGGGCACTCATGCAGTATAGAGATTAGGACCATGTTAAACACAAACATTGGTATTACGGTATTTAAGACATTAGCACCTCGCGTACTTCGTTTCATAATGACATAATAACATCACTAACATTTACTAATCTGAGAGCTTCGTTTATTCTGACAATGAGATTCATCCATCATATTTCGTTCTCTGTATTTATATAATTATTATATTAAAATTTGAACATCATATCAATAATATGTATATTGAGCATTGAAGTCTGTATATGTAATCTTCAAGAATATTTCATCTATTACAGTTATTTACAATTAACTTCAGTACAGTAGGCAAATACATTTAATTACAAAATCGAATTCTACGATTCAAAATAAAATTGCTCATCTGCGCATAGATTTTTTTAAGGACCTCCTTGACTGATTAAGTGGGTGTTGTGATCTATAATTTCTAGAAAACATATTGTTTTGATATTTTCAAAGTTTAACTATTAAGTTATATGTATACAAGAGGATTTTTCAAATATTGGATTATTTTCGGAGATTTAGATTTATTTAGAGATTTATTGACCATGACAATCCTTTACTTCTTCCTTTTTCTGCAAACTTCAAATGCGTTTTCCTCGAAACTGTTTTTTTCGCTACGATACCCACAATTTCTCAACTTTTACTGAAATTTTACACAGTTTTCTTTGTAGACATCTTTTCAGTATAAACTACGCTCATCCCAAATTACGGTTTTAATTCTATTAAAAAAAGTTTTTTACACATTTTTTTAATTTATCTGTAATTCAAACGATAGCGAGATTAGGTTATGAGGCTTATATTATGAGTGTGGTCAAATGCCAATTTTTTAAACCTCCCAATTTACCACTTTCTAGTATTAAATAATTGACTATTTTTAATTTTAATTTTTGTTTTATTCTCAAAACATTAATTAATAACTTGTAAAAAAAATTATATAAAAAATGATTTTTGTCTTGTTTATGGCCTTTGAAAAATCACATAAAATTTATGCCTCTAGACCAGATACCTTCGTAAATTATAAATTCTAAAGTAAATGAAATAACAATACCCCCACTTTCATTTTTGTTTCCGCATAAATACAAACATGCATCCATATACTTTATCTTAATGTTTTGGGTTTGTTTTAAGATCATAATAAATTGTATCTTGATCTGACTGATACGCAATTTATAAAAATGTTAATTTCGCGCGGAATTTTAATAAAAATGGGTGAGGTTCGTATATTTATGTGGCATATCTCACGGGTTCAAAGCACTGTGATTTCGAATTCCGAAACGTTGACGAATCTTCAAAAATTTCGTCATGTGTGGTATACCGTTACAGCATTGTTCCACCCATTATCGCGGCAGTTCAATATAGCAATAGCTTTACAAGCAGGTTATAACAGGTTGATATATTTGTTTGTACGAATATGCAAACACTAATCCAAGAGCAATGGCTCGCAGTTGTGGAGATGCCTACAATAATATATCTTGCATCTACAAACACAATCAAATCGTTTAATTCGAATATTGTACAATTGTACATGATTTATACATCTGTATTTATATGCA